CACTTATGTCAATCCACATGACATGGTCTCCTTACCATTCACTCAAGTCAGAGCCCATGAGTTGATAATACTCATTGCATTTAACAGCACATGTAAGGAAAAATAGACTGGTCATAAACTTTATTTTAAATCAGAGTAGATACTTTTGTTTATATCCTCAAACCAAAATAAGTCTCACCTGTTTTTATAAGACATTTGTAGAGTTGAGTCAAAGTTTTGCACACTTTTTTCTTTAACCATGTTAGTGGTTAAAGCTAATGAAGCATAACCAAGCACTATATTTCCAAAGATTTATTTTTTATTTTTATGTTTCATTTGCTAATTATTTTATGCAACTTTTTATGGAACAGTGAGGGATAATCAAATCAAAACTAGAGATGAAGATTCAGATGGCTTTAATTACCCTTTTCTTCCCAACTGAAACATGATGTTGTGAAGAAGTAGCCCAGACAGGTACAAGTTCTTCTGAGTAGCTGAGTTGGAAACTGACCTTAGGAATAGACAGAGAATATATATAAAAGTGAAGAAAGAAGACCATGTATTATCTTAGAGAATGAGAATCTCATTCTCCTGCCTTCTCTATGGCTATTTTTTTTCAGTATCTCTTTGAGATGAACAATCCTTCTAAGAATTCATCAATATTATCTGAATCTATAGTCAGGCATACACACTCATTAAATCTGTCATCTTGAGAAGCATTTAAAATTAGCTGTACAAGATTGCAAAGGTTGATTCTTTCAACAAGATTAAAACCATTATTGAGCACCTTCTAAGTACTAGGTACCGTCAGAAAGACACTGGAGGGACACCTGGGTGACTCAGTCAGTTAAGTGTCTGACTCTTGATTTCAGCTCAGGTCATGATCTCATGATTCATGAAATGGAGCCCCATGTGTGCTCTGCATTGACAGCACGGAGCCTGCTGGGAATTCTCCGTCTCCCTCTCTCTCTGCTTCTCCCCTGCTCATGCTTTCTCTCTGACATACAAAAATGAAAAGAGAAAAAAATACAGTAGGGCTGCTATGATGCCTTAGTTCAGCCTGCTATAACAAAATACCATAGACTAGGTGGCTTATGAACAATAGAAATTTATTGCTCACAGTTCTGGAGGCTGGAAAGGCCACAACTGTACTCGCAGGTTCAGTGTCTGGGGAAGGCCCTCTTCCAGGTTGCAGACTGCCATCTTCTCCCTGTGCCCTCTCTATGAAAGAGGTGAGCAAGCTCTCTAGCTCCTCTTTTATTAGGGCATCACTTTCATTCATGAGGCCTCCACACCCTCCCAAAGATTCCACTTCCTAATAATATCGCACTGGTCGTTAGGATTTCAACATATACATTTGGGGGTAGGGGAACACAAGTGTTCAGACCATAGCAAATGATGAGTGAAAATAGAGAATTTCCCCTTCTTCATAGACTTTACAATCTAAAGGGAATGGCAAATAAGAATACAAATATATGTAAAAATTCAAATGAGCAAGTGAAACAAAGGAAGTGTAGGTGATATTATGAATTTCTATAAAAGGGAAGTTGGACTAATTTAGGAAGATCTAGGAAGGCATCCATGAAGAAAATGATATGTTGAAATTCAAGAAGGGTTAAATAGATTTTAAAAAGATCGATTCTTGGGGCACCTGGGTGGCTCAGTCGGTTAAGTGTCCGACTTTGCCTCAGGTCATGATCTCACAGTTGGTGGGTTCAAGCCCCACATTGGGCTCTGTGCTGACAGCGAGCTCAGAGCCTGGAGCCTGTTTCAGATTCTGTGTCTTCCTCTCTCTCTGACCCTCCCCTGCTCATGCTGTCTCTCTCTCTCAGGAATAAGTAAAAAACATTAAAAGAATAAAAAAATAAAAAATAATTTTTAAAAAAACATCGATTCTTGCCACACTGAAGAAAAAAAATCCTAGTGTGAGGGAAAGCAAAATAAAGAAAAAGCACAGAAAGATCTGCATGCCTGGAGAACAAAACCAAGGAAGAATGTGGTGTGAGGTAAGAGTAGGATAGTAGATGGAGCGCCTGGGTGGCTTCGTCGGTTAAGCGTCCGACTTTCGCTTAGGTCATGATCTCGCGGTTCGTGGGTTCGAGCCCCGCGTCGGGCTCTGTGCTGACTGCCAGCTCAGAGCCTGGAGCCTGTTTCAGTCTGTGACTCCCTCTCTCTCTGATCCTACCCTGCTCACACTGTCTCTCTCTCTCTCTCTCTCTCTCTCTCTCTCTAGAAATAAATAAAACATTAAAAAAAAAAAAGAGTAGGAAGGTAGAAAGAGCCAACACCATGCAGAACCTTGCAAGCTATGAGGACAGGTTTTGTTTTTATCTTAAGTGCAATGGAAAGCTTTGTTTATGTGACAATGTTAAATATACTTTTTATAAAAAGAGATCACTAGGTGAGAGGTGATTGCAGTTGAGGAACAAATTCATTATGGTACTTTTAACTGTTGGAGGTAATGGTAGAGATGGAGACAATATATTAAGAAGGTAATATTTGATGTAAGGTGGTGGTGGTGGTATGAGAAATCTGAGGGAGGGACACCTGTTAGGACTGTCAGACCAACCCCTGGTGTCCTGAATTGTGTAACAGGATGTGTGGTGAAGCCAATCACTGAGTTGAGGGTCCTTGGAAGAGGACCAGGGGTAATAGCAGATAAGGTCAGTGTGAGGTTACTTACAGAGGCATTCAAGAGAAGATATTAATAGGCATCAGTTTTATGAATCTAGAGTTTAGAAGAGGAGTCTTTGGTAGAAATATAAATGTGTAAGTTATCTGAATAGAGATGTTCTCTAAGACTATAGGTGTGTGAGGAACGACTCAGAGAGTCAAGAGAGAAAAGAGGAATAAGCATAAGATTAGAAGATGAACATACATTCAAATTTGGCAAAGAACCTGACAGTGAGAACTTGGGCAAGTCACTTCTTCATTCCTTCCTTTTCTGTTCTATCTTTTCTAAACTTTATTTTCCTTAATCTGAAAATAAGTGTAATAACATCTTCCTAGGGTGGCTGTTAGATTACATCAACATGTCAAGTAGCTTCCAGTGTGCCTTGCAAGTAAATAAATAAAATGTTTAAAGTTTAATAAATAGTAGAAATGTTGATGCTGATGATAATGATTGGTGGTGGTAGTAGTGATTTTATCTCTACTGATCAGATAGTTATTCAGTAAAGCAGCAAAACTTTGCTTAAAATGTTAATCCTCTGAATTAAAATCTTTCTGAACTATTTTTAGACATTTCATCTTTTTTTTTTCTTCAACAATGGAAACTGAAAATAGTTTAACCTTTCATTGGTGACTCAGGATCATAATTCAAACATCAGTTATTTTTAATGGGCTTTCATATTTTCAAAGGTCATTTTGAAGTATAAACCTTAAAATTAATTACAGCGAAGTTCCCACACTGATTGACATGTTGTATCTGCTGATTACAGTCCTTGGTAATGACCGCCCTTAAGATTTTGCTTTTAGTCTGCTTGAGATCAGATAACGAAGTTTATTAGAATTGTGACTAAAAATAAATGTAGACGAAGTACCACTTAATGGATTCTGAATAATGGGTACAGATTTTATGACATTTATTGGGATGGATGAGGTATCATAATTGCTTCCTTTCTAATTGTTTCTATCTTTCAAATGGTTGAGATTGCCAGATGGTGTATATGTTGTAGTCGTGTATAAATTTGTGTGGCCGTGTGTTAATTTGTGTGTATATATTGAATAATCCCTCTTAACCACAAACTCTCTTCACATAAAATTATACGTAGATACATATTTACATATAGTTATATATTTATTTAACTCACTACCGTAGTTAATTTTTCATATCCTAAGAGAAATTCAGATCAACTATCTGCATGTATTATCTCAGTTACAAAATCAAGACATGAAACATTTAAGAGAGAAACACACAATATGTCTATGAATACTTTTCTCAATGAAGTAAAATAAAAAGGCAGGCAGCTGTGGAAAGCATGGGGTGTGGAGCAGTATCCTTTCCACTATTAAAAGCAATTTGCTGATCTGCTACTATTAAGAAATATTAAAATTATGTAAGGGAAGAGGATGAGCATGTGTGTTAAGTATGCAGAGAGAGAAGAAAAAATATATATATTCCTCAAAATGACAGTAGTAGTTATCCCAGGGTGACAGAATTTCAGGTACTCTATTAGTTTATAATATTTTTATATTTATTCAAATTATTTGAGATGATCATATATTGTTTATGCCCTCAGAAAAATTGAATTATTAAGCAAAACAAAAGTTTAGGAAAAAAGTAGAAAATCCTCAAGTTCTTAGTGAGCCAGAATTGATATTTAGAATTTAGAAATAAAATACTCATTATTTCTAGTTGATTAAATAATGCCACTCATATTCTATGTATTTTTTTTTGTGATCGTATTTTTACAGAATAAAACATATATAGGTTTTGAATTAAATAGTTTGGGGAAAAATGAAAATCAATGTTCCATTGCTTTATTCTCCCATGGCAAGAGGCAACTGCTTTCAACTCTTTTAGTTGTTTTTACTGTTAGTTACCTCTAGATTGCCAAATAGTATGCTTCTACTACATTTCTTTACTTACCATGTAGGCTTCTTCTCAAAACTAGTTGGGAACTTAATTCATTCAAAGTATCCAATAATAGTTTTAGTTCCTCAATTTTTTTCCTTTCATAAATTTAAGTAATATATTTACACCTTTATTCCTTTTTATGTAAACCTAACTCTTCACATAATTAGATGAAATGATGAACATTCTCACTCTGCTTCCTTCTCTTTCCTACATCTGCTCCATGTCTTGGTTTCTTACTTTCACAATGTCACGTTTGAAAATATTTAAATTCTGTTGTAGATCCTCATTCATTCTCTCTTGTTCTTTGTCTATAGGCTGATTCTTAAATACAGAAATCAATGAAAACTGTTTAAATTATTATAGAATGTATTAGTTACCTTGCTTCATAACAAATTACCACAAACTTAGTGGTATAAAATAATACACATTGTTTTCTCACAGTCTCTGTGGATCAAGAGTCTGGGCACGATTAGCTGGGTTCTCTGCCTTAGAGTATCTCACATGGCTGCAATCAGGTTTGGGGCAGGGCTGAAGTCTTCTATCAAACCTGAAATGGAGAATAAGTTTTTAACCTCACGTGGTTAGTGGTAGCATTTAATCCCTTGCAGGTTGTAGGACGGATGGTCTCAGTTTCTTGCTAAGAGATGTCCAACGACTGTCTTTTGTTCCTCACCATAGGGGTCTATGTGTAGAGCAGATCATACCATGGCAGCTTACTCCATCAAAGCTAAGAAGGGAAAAGAGTTAGTTAGCAAGACAGACACTACAATTTTATGCAATGTATCATGGAAATGGGATCTCATTACTTTTACCATCGTTTTTAGTTAGAAGCAAGTTACAGTTTTCACATCAAGGGGGTTGAGATGACACAACACCATGAAAAACAGGAGGTGAGAATAATTGTGACCCTCTTACTGCATTTCCACCACAAGCTATATAATCATTGCTTTTTGCAGAACCACTGATACACTTTGGTTGTGTCCTCCTTCTTTTATAATTTCCCCCAAATTTCTCATTTTTTTCTTTTCCTTTTCTTTGTACTGTCTTTATCATAGACTCACTTTTCTCCCCAAAATTTGATATCTAATCAGATATTATATTGAGTTTTGTTTTCCACAGATCATCTTCCTGAGGACCACTACCTCTGCTCTTATAAGGGCTGTTAATCTCTGGGTTTGCTACAACATACTGGGACTTGTATTTACAATTTTCTCCATGTTAGTTCCATCTTCAGTTTTTGCTAGAACCCTCTTCAAACTGGACATGCTTACTCTATAAACATTTATCAGATGGCTATCATGTGATAGGTATTGTTCTAGGTTCTGGGTACCTACTGATGGAAAAAAAGTAAAATTCCTTTACTTGCGATACTTACATTGTAGTAGAGAGTGACATACAATATACAAAGTAAATGAGAAGTGTGTACAGTTTGATGTCAATAGATATTTAGAAGGAAAATAAAGAAGTAAAAGAAGAAAGGAGGGATAGGAAGTGTGTGTGAGTGGGAAAGTGTTAGAAAGGTAGAGTTACATTTTAAATAGGGTGTGTAGGGAAGATTTCACTGAGAAGACAGTATTTGAGCAAAGAACTGAAGGAGGTAAGGGAAGGAGACACATGGGTATCTAAAAAAGAGCTTTCCAGACAAAGTGAATCACAATGCAGAGTTCTTTAACATGGAGGTAAAGGTGCTTTGTACCATGCATGTCACACTGCTGTCTCATCAAAACTGTAGGATCCGTAATTATTGCCTGAACCAAAGTGTACAACGGATGTCTTCGCAGAAAAGCTCTGCAGAATGGAGACATTCTATGCTAGGATGGGACTGACCCTAGCTCTAACCTAGTCTGATCTTCTCCAGGGAAGTCTGACCACGGCACACACAAAGAAGATGGAAGAGAGTAGAAGAGCTGAGAGGGACCCAACAGAGCCGGTGAGGCAAAGGCACTACTCATAAAGCAGAAGCCACACAGTGGAAAGATGCAAAGTTGAAAAATAAGCAGAACAGAAGGGAAGCAGAGGCAGCAGATATCTGAAAGCAGAAAATGCTGAACTCCCAAGTTTCTGATGGTAGAGTGTCTAGGGTAGTGCGAACAGATGTCCAAGCCTCCCTGGTTTCTGACGGCTGTATTTCCTATATCCCTTGTGGGGTTTTTTTCCACCATAAAGCCCCATTCCTGAGGTAAGTTAAGCGGTGCCTATGCCTTACAAACTAAAAGAACCACTAACAACAAAATAATTATTTCCATTTTTCTTACCTAGTTGACTTTTCACTTAACTGTCAGTTTTTCTTTCACTTTGTGAACCCAAAGAAAAAACTAAAAAAGCAGAAGGTAGGTTTGGAATATGTAAATTTTCAGCAGCATCTAAAGTCTGTCCATCCCATAACTGTTCACTTGCCTCTTTCATGTTGGGAATATCTAAGAGATGTTTTCCCCTCAACCCATCCAAAGACTTCTGAAGTCCCTATGCTAAAGTGAATTTTAGTGTTTTTCAGACTGATTTCTGAGGTTCTTGTCTACTCCTGTGCCTGCACTTGTGATGAAAGTTGTGGATGTATGGCCTCTGTATGTTTCTACTAGACTATTAGCAAACATGTTTCCCACCCTCTTTTACATAATTACTACCTTGAATCTCAATCCATTAATGCAAGTGTGGGAGGGACACCTACCATCACCTTGGGCAATTGTCAATATAACCTTTCTCTTTCTGCATTAGAGTCTCAAGGCATACTGATGGCAAATTTTCTTCTCTAGGAAACTAATGTATTTATAATATCTTGCAATACAAATTAGACCAGTGAGTGCATGACTGTTGCACTTTAAATAGCTCGTTATTTAAAGACAGCAGCAATTACCAATAGCTGGCTCAGAAGCAATGCTTTACATCTGTACATTTAAATTGCTCCCTGTTCCAGTGGGATAAGTAAAATAAAACATCATTTCTTTTCCTGTTTTCTTTCTGGTAAATTTTTACCGTCCACGTTACAATAGTTGGGGAATAAGTGGCCCTAATAAAATGTGTGTAAGTGTGGTAATTCAGCAGAAGCACGCGCATTAGTCACTGGAGCCGACTTTTAGTAGTCCCCATTTTTCCTCATGAAAAGAACTGAGTAAAATTATGATAACAGAATGTAACTCATACCACAATCATTTTGCTAAGCTCAGCCTCTGTAGCGCAAAAAAGTCTGTAGAATTTTTAAAATCATACTTAAGCAATTCTGCATGTATTTTGAGAGTATCTCATCCATGGTTTCTTTTTTTAAAATCTGGGTGATTATAAAGCATTTTTTTTTGCACTCATAAATTCCTCCATCTGTTAGTATTGTATTGTTAAACTTTTGCTGCTGCTACTTTAGTCTAAATAGCAGAAGGTGGAAAAAATGCAATGAATTTTTGTTGATGATAAAATGACTTTACCATTTATTAGACCAGTCTTTTGAATTCTCCAGTGTATTGCCTTAAATCGGCATTTCCAGATTTGTAGAATGTCAACTGTTTTAGACAACGTCCTTGACATCCTATCAACTCACTAGGAAAGCATTAACTGCTTGACAAGGCAGAAATTCTGTCAGGAGCAAAGCCAAGATCCCAAGGATGTAAACCATATTTTCATGTAAATAGATTTGATGAGGATAATAGGGTGAAGAAAAGAGAATGGAGATAGATCCATCTAAATGAAGCTGAGTGCTTCAGATTGGTAGATCAATACATAAAAATATCTGCACTAGTCAAATCAATTGATTAGAGACCCATGGTAATGCATCAAAGATTGCTGGTTTGATATTTGCATAGGTCACTTAAGTTTTTGCAAAATAGCTACAAACTGTGTCATGGACACTTCTCTAACTTCAACAAACCATCTTATAATCACCAACGCATGAGGGCATCAGGTGAAAATTTTGATGCCCCACACAGTTATTTAATCCCAACCATTTGATGATAGCTCTGAGCACTGGTCCCATTGAGAGAGGACAGGAGCTCTTTGTTCCTCTGGAAACATACAGTTAATGTTGGTAGAATATCCAAGTTCTGCTGCCTACACTGTGCAGGCACTTAACTATTTGTTGAATAAAGAAATGTCTGATTCTATGGGCTCATATGAAGCAATTATTATACTCTTAACACAGATACCTGCAGAAATTAAGAAGATAAGCTTGGAGGACAGAAACAAAGATGAGGGCTGGGGACAGAAGGAGAGGCCAAGGAGAGCTTGGTCTGTTTAATTGTTTTATTGAAATAAGAACAACAAAGAAATAATAAGTCATGAGAACTTCTAAATGAATCAAAAGATGCTTGGTAATTAGCAAAAAGGTTTTTTTAAGTTCAGAAAAAGACTGGTCTAAAGGAAAAAAGGAAAATTTTTATCTTTTATAACGTTGATACTCAGAATGCATGTGTATGTATATATGTATAAGTACACATACACATTTATATACATATATATGTACATACACATGCATATATACATATATGTGTATATATATATATATATTCAGTTTCTAGCTGTTTTATTTTGACATACACGATCTCAGACATAAGCAGGGTGGGCAGTGCCAGGTGTACAGGAAGTGGCAGCTCGGCCCAAGGCCCAAACAACCCTCCCGGCACGCAAGGTCCCAGGGAGACACAGTGGCCCAGCCATGGGCGGAGCCGAGAGTGGAAGAGGGTGCAGACCTCCTCGGGCCGCTTGGGCAGGTTTAGGCAGTTTTCAGGAAAGTGGAGCAGAGAGCGATTCCTAGAGATGAGGCCTTACAGTTCCCCGAGAAGCAAAGGAACCATATCCTTCCCAGGTGCTCCAAATTTTCTCATTGAAACATTTTTTTTTTTTTAATCAGCACAAACAAAACCAACTTGAACCGCTTTAAAGTTCCAAGCTGTCTGCATCTAGGGGGCGTGCACGTGGCCAGATATAGCGCAAGTGAGCAGTTGCTACTGAACTAGCCCAGGCCTTTGGCCCCTGGGGAAACCCCCACACCCACTGTACAGGCCCCCGTGTGCATATATATATATATGTACACTTCACCACCATCACAAAACTGGAGATGTTTGAAAGTGGTTGGTATAACATTTGGCAACGCAAATTATGCAAGGCCAATCCCAGTTGTGAGATGAAAATGGAAACCAGAATTGCATACTTAAATTTACTCAGGATTTTCTTATATTTGCTTTTTTCTTACCTCCTCCTACCTTTTAAACCAGTACTCACATAACAAATAAGAAAGGTAGTTTGCTAAGAAAGAACATGTGAATAGTTGTGCTCCCTTCTTCACTAATTGGAATTTTTTTCAGTTTTATTGATATATATTCAACACATAACATTGTATTCATTAAAGGTATACAACACAATGATTTGATATAAGTATATAATAGGAAAAGATTACCACTATAAGTTTAGACAACACATATTACGTGACGTACTTACAATTTTTTGTGTATATCATGAGAACTTCTAAGATCTATTTTCCTACCAACTTTCAAACATACAGTACTATAGTTAACCATAGCGTACACTACATCTCCAGAACCACACCTTGTAATTGTATCTTTT